TGCATTTGCTTCGATGCCCATTACTTCTTTTAGAAAGTAAATTCTATAAAATTTATCTGCATCTCGGTATGATTAAAAGTTTCATTCATAGTAAAAAAAGAAAAAAAGAAGAATTAGCCACTTAGTGTGAATTTTAAATTTAAATTAAAATATTTTTGTACTTGGAATAGAAAAAAAACAACTAACGTGAGTTACATGAGTATCTCTATCATATTCACTTTTTACTTACACATTATTTATTGAAAATATTTAACTATTGATAAAACTGTATGCTTTATTCTACTACATTTCCAAAACGGTTTAATAATGCAAACATGAACTCCTGCGGTCTTAACGCTTTTATTGTTGAGTTCATCTTCTGTTTTCTATATCAAAAAATCATTTCTATGAGTATTATTTTCATTTTCAACTATTTGATTATATCTAAATTTCAGCAAAGTAATTTTTCGAATGGGAATGTCAGTTTATCTTTATTCTTCTTCATAATAAACAATATGAGTGTATATAAACCTTTTACATTATGAGATTAAGATAAACAAAAAAAGAGAAAATCATCATTAACTCAAAAAATAAAGATAAGTAATTTCTTCAGTTATAGGAAAACAAATGAGTACCTAATTAATATAAAATCAGAGAAGCCAAATAATAATTTTTTTTATGAGGACTTAATGTTGTATTTTCTCTAAATTTCTACAAAATTTGTAATGTCATAGTTACAAATGTGTAGATACAGATAAGATTTTCCATATGTCTTCATATAGTGCTCTCAACTATAAATAACAATGTATATTCTGTTATTAATGAAAAAATATTATTTAATTGTGTTATACAATAATTTTTTTATTCAAGAGAGATATAAGAAATGCGTTTATTTTAATTTTATCAATGAATCTTATTGATATTCACATACAAAGTGACGATAATCAAGATCAGTTTTCTTAGAACTATAAGCAATCCAAAAATTGTTAGTCATTCGGTTTATGGACATGTAACTAATTTCGAGCTGTATATAGCTCAAGGCTATTTTCGCTCGGCTTGTAATCGATGGTCGTGTCTTCAAATCTTGATTCAAACTGTCGTGGAAAAAAGTCTCACTCTGTTGTTCATGATATTAGAGTGTTATATCAAAGTTCGCTATGGTGTATCGGTTCGAATCCAACACAGAATGATGGTAATTTTTTCAATTTTTTGAGAATAAAGTAAATGCATCCAGATGCGTTGTTTTCTGAACGCGTTCTCAATGTTGAAAATGTTGCATTTTGGACCTGTACAAAGGCGTCAGGCGCGCTTGTATGAAACGCTCAGAAACATGTTGAAAATCTAAAAATGGTTATATAGAGAGTGTTTGCATTTCTTCTCAGTGCTGATCTTCCTATTCACTGGATGTGAATCGAGAAAACAGGATTGCGTAACTCCACGAGCAGGGGCGTGGGTATTGATTTTCATAAACTTTCACACCCATACCCTTTTTGGAGTTTAAGAAAAAGCTATACGGAGCACAACACATTTTCTATTCTGACAGAGTATATCTTTTGTGGGGAAAATTGTAAACATATGTATGTGCTTCAGCATCCTGTTAGCTAAAATTGCTCATAATGAAAAAGAATAAAAAGGAAGATAAAACTCAGCTGGCTATTCTCATAAATTTTCACTGTACTGAATTCTTTTATTGAATAGAAAACCATAATTTTGCAGCTTATCACAAATAATTAACTGAAATTTTAGCTTTTCGATTGTTTTCTGTTATGATCGGTCTTGATTCGAATATACTCTAAATGTTGTCTAAGGAATAGTAATTAGTTGAATTCATATCCAATTTGAGAGCATGAATGATAGATAATTTCGTTGTTTCTGATTACTAATCAAAATTATTTCTAGACAATATAGAAAATATTCACATTTCATGTTACAACATTGAGTATACATTATTATATCTTTTTACAATAAATTTCTGTTCAGAAAATGAAGTGTTCCTATCTCAAGTGAGTAAGGAACATGACAAACAGAGCATCTACTTTAGTGACCTGGCCTGTGCTTGTCACAAGCAAATGGGCTTCACAGCCTGTTTTATGCTCTCATCCATAATACAATGTGACAATGTATTTCTCTAGCATAAGAAAATAAATAGATGCGAGAAAAAAACAAATAAAACATTTGCAAAGGTACGCGAGTCATCCAGACATAGAAAATATTTACTCATAGATCGGTCTATAGAAGTTAGAGCTATCAGTCTGAATTTTGAAATTTTAGCATGGCATTCCTGCACGCTAGGCCAGGCTTTAATAGGCGACCTGAATGCCCTGTAGTCCAAAATCTGCGCTAGAAGTTTTTTCAGTAATGAATTTCAAAGATATACGGGTCATGTGTTAGCGATGCCTTCTAAATAAACTCTCTATTCTCATTGGTGATCGGTCTATTGACTTAAAATAATCAACGCACGGAATGAATAAACGAACACAAGACCCACTGCTTTTTCTATTAAGTACTCCAAACGAAAAACGTATCGTAGGAACTTATGATTTTACGAAAACACTGTGTTTTGTGCTCTTCCAAGAAAACAGGGTGCTTTCAAAATACTTTGTACAATAATTAAAGTACTGTGTCCATCTTTTACTCGAAGTCATTTAAAAATTGAGTGTCTACCTGTTGTTACTGTGGATTATCTGCAGATAGAACTAGGATAAAATTAATTCTGGTATTTTGGCAACAAAATTTTTCATGGAAAAAAATGAGAATAATAATAGCATTCTTTCTATTTTTCTTGAACAAGTTTTTCGTGTTAGGACTTTGAACAACTTTGCTATTCAAAAAGCATACCAATAGATACTTTGTCATTAGACATTCAGCATCCATAGCACTTTGTTTTAAATTTTTATTACGGATGCTCATAAAGCCACATTAATGATGCACTTATTTCAACGAACGTGAGAAAAAAGATATTATTGTTCATTTAAAAAATGAAATGAGTTGTAAGTTAAGTTAAGGCTGCCTACAGGCAGGGTTGCCAGATCGAAAACTCAAAAATCAGAGTTTTTTTTTGCAAAATCAGAAATTAATCAGAAAAGTCAGTTTTTGAAAAACCTAGTGGTTATTATGGTATCATGTTGGTACAAGATGCTCTATTGAATCGCTGTTCATTAATTCATACTTTATTTTCAAAGATATTTCGCTATCAAAAAGAATAATACTTAGGGCGTACCAAAAGTTCGTGTCCCGCTATTTAACCCTTTCAATCCCGCATGGCATCTACGAGATGACATGCAGAACGAAAAAGAAATCTTTTGCGTTCTTTCGTCTTCTTAGACGACGAATATCATATAATATGTTCAAATGAAAATCACTTCGTATGGATACGAATAATAAATCTAGGATTCGAAAACATATGATTGTGATAGCTGAACGCAAGAGAGAGAGATTAAACTATATTTTTCCATGTTCGTGCAGAACGCAATAAAATGACGGGATTGAAAGGGTTAAAGGGCCTCATCGGATGGGTGAACCGATTCAGAAATAAGAAACAAATATATCATCTTGTAGAGCTTTTCGAGCCGCATCGAATGGTTTATAGTAAATCGTGTTTTCATAGAACTTTGAAGGACCTAGAGACAATTTACTGATGGACGACTACACATTCACACCCATCCACACTCACGTCTACATTCACAAGATGACCGGAGATGGTACGTATATGAGGTTGTAGCCCGTCAAAACCTCTACAAAGTCGCATGCGAGAAACAATATTTTACAAATGCTTTCAATTAATAACAAGAACCACAATAATCATTAACTTATGGCCCTCGGGTATGGATGCCGATATGGATGGACGTGAATGTGTAGCCATCTATCAGCAAATTGACTCTAGGTTCTTCAAAGTTCTATGAAAACACGATTTACTATATACCATTCGATGCGGCTCGAAAAGCTCTACAAGATGATATATTTGTTTCTTATTTCTGAATCGGTTCACCCATCCGATGAGGCCCTTTAAATAGCGGGACACGAACTTTTGGTACGCCCTAAGTACAATGAATATACTGTTTAGCTAACAAGGAAAAACTAATGAAGACACGTAGTGTCGAACTCTTTCACTAAACTCAAAATTCGTTCACAAAAAAAGTACAAAAACAAAGCACATATATACGATATAACCCTAGAGAAAGTACTGAGTTCAGGGTACCCATGTACTGAGAAAGCTCTAGCAGGGTACCCAATATGGGTACTTTGAAAATTTTCAGTAATTTTACTGATGTATGTACTGTTTGGGGTACCCGTAAAAGTACATTCACTGAATAAGTACCTGCATAGATACACAAGTCTGTAACTTTACTGAAGAAATCTCGACAGGGTATCCTAAATTTTTCGCGTTCTGTGTGGCGACTATTCATTCACCGTTTTCTTTTTTACGAACGGCTGTATATAAACAACTCGATAAATCATAAGAAAATAATCAATTTTCATACTAGTATTTTCTAAATTATTTCTTGACTATTTCTTAGTCGAGGAAATGCCGAGCTTGGTCGTAAATTAAGATCGGACTACCCTGAAGTGGTCTACGACCAACTCAAGTTGAGTCGGATCCCGACATTGTTCCTGCTAAGTTTTTGGAATTGAAAAAATTAAATTGAATAAATTAAAAAAAATCTAGTAAATTATCTCAAGAAAAACAAAAAAAAATTTTAAAAAGTCAAAGATCAGGTTCGATCCTGAACATACTGAAAATTTGGTAACAGGGTACTTAGAAATACTATACAATGGTACCCAATTCAGTACTTGATCAGTACCTTTAGGTACCCAATTACTGTGCATTTTTCAGCAGGGTACTTGCCAAAGTACCACTTAGGTACCTATAAGTACCTGCAAGTACTTTGGTACCCAAAAGTTCCTGTGACATACTGGTATCAGGGTACTTTTTTGGGTACCCTTAACTCAGTATATTCTCTAGGGAAGTTATAAGATCCTATGAAGGAAAAAACTGATGATTATGTAACATAGATTCGATATTATTGTTCATATTTTCCATTTTTTCGAATTTGCTGTAACAAATGTGTTTGAGTTAAAAGATATTTATAAAATTGTTTACACGAATAATTATGATAACATTTAATTTTCGCTAAAAAAGCTATGATATGATTTAGAAAAGTTCAGAATTCAGGAGAAAAGCAGGGAAAATTATCAAAAACAGGAAAAATCAGACTGTCAGAAGGAAATCAGAAAGGCATCCAAATTTCAGACACTGTCCTGACTTTTCAGACAATCTGGCAACTCTGCCTACAGGACAGGTCACGCTCAAAAAAAAAGTGACCTGTTAGCAGCTCTGATGAAAATATATTAATCAAAGCCATTTTTCCATATAATTCGATTTACTTTTTCAATCTTTCAACACGTTTATCAATTTTTTTTTATAAACACGAATTGGTTGTTATTGAAATAGTTTGAAGAACTCAACATGGTTGATAAAATGTCATGTCTCATAAATTCAAATAAAAATAGGAAGAGTAAAAAACAAATAAGTCAATAAATCATCAAAACGATGTTCCTTACAGATCAAAAACTGATGTATGTCATAAACAAATACAGACGTAGAAATTTTCCTCAACATTCTTCGTTATTCCTCCAAAATCTCCAACAGAATCTCATGAAAATGAAAAAGAAAAAGAAAACTGTAAAACCGATCTTACGCTTCAATGTATTCTTTGAAGCCGAACTGGGTGATAATGTTGATGTTGCTGTTGATAAAGCTGATGCACTTGGTTTTGGTACCACTGGCATAGTTACTTGTTCGTTCGATTTGCTGAATGGTGGTTTGACGAGTGTCATCGGTGGTATAATTTCTTTTAACTCAATAATATGAAGTCCACTGCCTGGACTTAATTGACCAATCACTTGAAAGTATGAACCGGGCATGAGTATTACTTCGTTTTCGGTATTTTTGAAATACGAATGTGCTGCAACCGATTTGCCATTGATGCATTCAATCGAAAATAATGTTCGCAGACCCTCTTTTCCTAAGAATTGACTCGATTCAAGTACTTGCATGCCAGCTGTGCAAGAACTCACGCCCCACCAGGCAAATTCCGTACCCGTATTGTATTTTTCACTTAAATCGACGTTTCGAATGCCGCGCCATACCCGTCGATTTTCTGATGGCAGTTTGTAGAGTGCCGTAAAAAATAATTTAAGATAAGTAAACCATGGCTTGAGATCTTGACGGTTTTCGGCACGTAACGATTCATTAAGTACTTCATATAGACTTGGACCATCTTCAAATTGCATGGTGTACAAATGTATTGAGGCTGACTCTTGTTGTGTTAGCCCATCAGCCGGATTTCGACAATTATGTAATGCTACTTTGACATTATCTTCGATTTCATCGAAAAACCCCGATACGGGTTCAATTGTTTCCATTAGTGAAACAAGTGGTTTATTTTGATATCCTTTTATCGGCGATAAAAGGCGATCGACAGGTTCGCTGTAAACATCAGTGAAGCGAGAACGATTGCCTACATTTCCGGCTTTAGCCATATATAGTCCAGTTATCTTCAATTAGAGTACGATGAAGGTTAACAAAATTAAAACGAAAAATGAGAAAGAAATCTAGAATAGACAAAGAAAAATTAAATTAGGACTTTGGTACACTATACTTCTCTATAAGAATGATTCACAATCAAATTCAAATACGGTTGCATGCTGCGATCTACTCGGTTTCAAAAGAAGCAAAGTAAAAAGAAACTGTATGCAACTGTGCGGGTAAATTTTCATGAAAGATTTGTTGTGATGACAGCAACGACGAAGCGAATGTCATAGTATACAAAAAAATACTGCCACCCTGATCGACCTATGCAAGGCATAGTCTCATTTCAGCTACTTTTTTGTTCAAGTCATTTTATAAATAAACACGTATTAATAATTTTATTTTTTGCTTTAAGGGTGTGGATGTGGGGTTTGATTGTGTGCATGTGGTATCGGTGTGGGTGGAAATTACAAAAAGATAATTACACTCACACCCCAAAATTTAGGACATACTTATTTAGAGATTGTGATTATGAATTGAACGGAAGTAAATAATCATTTAACACACATGAAATAAATAAAAAATCAGTCGAACTGCGCTTTAAAAAGTAGGATAAATGTGTGAGCGAAAAGCAGTACTTCTTTACATATAATTCAGGACTTAAATGCTCTATGAAAGGCACTTTTTTAAATATTACTAATCAATACTAAATGTTCATTTTAAAAATTTTTGAAGATGTTTAAAGAAAGAGAATAATAGAACCAAGGATATTAAGCATTTGAAAGATACATAAGATGTGAGATATTCAAGTGAAAATAACAAATGAGAGAAATTTCACGTTTCTACTACAACAAGAAAATTTTACATCACAAAGTAATGTTACTGCTTTTCTTATTTCCAAGTAATTCTATAAGACAATTATAAAGTAGAATGGAATTTTTTATCATTTATCTATATGCTGCTATGCTAAGAGTCTATCATCGTCTTATAAATTTTCATAATGAAGGGCATAACTATTATTTGAGATACCTAGCATAATTGTTGTACTACTTAGTTTGTTATATGTCACTGTCCGAAAGCAAAAAGAAATTCACTACTGAAACTTAGAACAGTTTATCTCTGTTACAACTTCTTTCCTTACAAGATGGTATTACTCAACGTATTTGTCAGGTTGAAAAATACTCCCTCTGCTAACAAAAATAATTTTCAATGAATTATTTTTGAGTTAGTGTCTCTATTCTTCTTTTTTCAAAATCTATCACTTTGAATCCATGATCATTGAAGATGTATTAACTATGTTACTTTAAAAACAGCTTTGTTTCGTTGGATTAAAATGTTTTATAGTTCATGTATAGATTCCACTGTAATTTTAGATATGATCTAATAGCTTTTAGCATTAGTAGATGTTTGAAATAATTTTAATATCTCCAACAGAAGTGCTAGAGTAGATTGGAGCTATTGTGAACGCAATTTTAAAATTTGAAGTTGCCCTCCTTGTCCTGTATTAGAGGCGTCCGTGGTATCTAAAGTGTTGAAGCGTTCAAAA